TGTTCAAAACGTTCGAGAGATGTCTGTATCTCGCAGGAAAATAAAAAAAACTTAATGCAAAAAATAGAAATACGGATTTAAACTTCATGACCTTTGCTTCAAAACAGTGTAAAGTTTTTGATCGCATGAATGACTGTAGAGATGACAATTAAAATTTTATTCACGTTAGTTAAATTATCAGCCCCGCTGATTTCAGAATCACGTGACGCTAAAACAAACAAAATTTTCACAAAATATTAATAGTAGGAAAATACAAGTCAAGAGCTTTCTAAACATATATAGATTGTATGGTTTCTTGTAAAATTTATTCCGATTATAGGTGTTTACATTTTTCATGCAAAAAAACTATCCTGCTACCTTAATAAAAAATAAATGAATAAAAAAAGTTTCAGCTTAGATATGGATAGCTTAAAATACAACAACTTAAACACGTATCTGCTGTTGGCTTAGTTGTGTGCCATACATTTTGAACATATGATAATGTGTGCGGATTTACAAAATTGCTCTGGCTTTTTTACATAAAATTAAACATTTTCACTTATAGAAGTAAGTGCAGGAACATACGAGACAGAGGGCGTAGTCCGAAACAACTTCGCTATATTCCGTGGTGTTGGCTACTTAGACGTAGAAGATCTCGTTGGAATCCTGGCCTGTGTAACCATGTGTATTTGAAATAGTGGGCGCGATGGCGAGAGAAAATTGAACACTATTTGAGCAATTCTCGCTCTCATCGCGATCTCAGCCTTTGCGTCAAAAGTATATTGTTATAGTACAACATATGGACGAACACGTGAAATGGACAGAGACGAGAAAACAAAAACATATTTTTATTTTTGGAGTTGAATGTCGACAGGCCATAATGAGATCCATAGAACTGTATAATGTCCACTTGAATTGAATTTCGTATACCCAAATCACCCGCGGATTTAGGGGAGGCGCGCCCCTTCAGCCAGCCCACCAAAACAAAAAACAAATTTACAAACCCAGACCACTGGAGGTCATGAGGAGCGCTCACTGCCTAATTTCTGGATCCGCCAGTGCAAATACGTTTGCATAATGTCAAATGTTTTACGGCAATATTGAGTATTTCCCTTTGCGGCGACCTCTGCCAATTGTGCAATAAACTAAAAGAATATTGTTGTGTGTTCAATTTTTCATTTTCATTTCACGTCACGTATTCCATCTGACGGTTATCGTCGCGACGCGTCCTGTTCGATATGGGTTCCGGGTAGACCAACGTTTGCATGAACTAAGTATACTTATTTAGTAAATGTAGTTAATTCAAATTTAGTGTATTTTAACATGTACATACATACACGTAATAATTATTGTAGCAGCTACTTTCGTCAGCAAAAGTATTGGAAATCGTGAGTCATGCACAGTACGTAGACAATGCAAATATGTTGGATATGGTTGCACAGGAAACCTTAAGTCATCTACACTGATAGAGTAAACAACCCATACGACTGAAAAAAGGGGTCTGAGCTACTCGTGTATGTTTACTGTACATGGGATAGTGAATAATCACTGGCGATATCTTCTCTCGCTATTTACGGTGGCTGATCATAACTTACACAAAGATTGTATATATTCGGTATTATTCCAGTACTGTGTTCTGCTGATCAAGCAATCCCTTGTTTGTGTTTTTCTTTAGTAAACACGTCGTGACACGTCGGTTAGGGTCATTTTTAAATTTATCGAATTACACTGGCCGTGCTTTCTATCGTGCTTACACGTAATATATACCTTCGTGGAATTTCCAGTTACTTAAAATAAATTGGGCACATAATAGTAGCTTGGCAAATCGAGAACTTGCCAAGTATCTGAATATTATCCATAATGAGTTGTAACCTAGTTGCACCTGGTTACAGTGAATAATTTTTCAGTACTTCCTTATTTTTATGATTGTTGTTATCGCTGGTACAAAACCGCCTACAAATAAAGTGGACATAAACCTTTAGACTTGGAGGGTCAAGGTCCCGCTCATAGTTCGTTGACAAGGGTCAGGTCAGGTGATATAACTCCTGTACTTGCTTTATAAATATTCGCCACATACATATAATAAATTCAAATTCGACAACCATTGTTTTTGTATGCCTGGTTACCTTCCTAATACTTTGTGGGTCCGTTGTTCTCCCCGTCACGTTATGATAGAAAAGACCCACGGAGACACGAAGTAATAGAAACGTAACCAAGGTGAGCGTATCTGTCTTTGTATGTTTGGTCACGTACTGGGGGAGGGGGCTGACTGAATAATAACCAATTTTGAGTGAACACTACACACAACATGTATATGTAAATAAGTTGGCTGGCTGCTCGTCAATCTCATGTCATAGGTCATCTACTTTGGTATTGTAAACAACCCATGAAGCGTTTTTTTTCGGCTGAAGTGTTTTTTTCAAACTGTCCATAGCCCAGAGCACTGAAAGAAGTGGCTATAGATTTACTGTATATAGGGTATTGTTATTCATTGTAATACATATAATAACTCGCATGCATGTTCTCATAATGTTTACTGAGAATAAAATTTCACATACGTATGTCAGTATTTTTTTTTTGTATTAGCCGTGATTCCGCTTAACTATCCTGGCTGTGTTCATGGGAGAACATGTTGAACACGTCGAAACGTTTATTTTTAAAATTGACCAATCACCGGAAAGTCGGTCGGTTTATTCCATTTTGAAATTTAACGAGTTATAGTGTTTACGCATTAAATCGTACTTCCACGTAATATACGACTTCGTGGAATTTTCTATTTTGTCATTGAAGTGAAAGAGTTAGAATGCTGGCAAGTTGCCAAGTCACGAAGGCAAGAACCACGTAATGTATATGCAGTCAGTTTTCAGCATAACAATGTATCAAATGTATACTTCCTCAATTTCTAAATAGTATACGTGAAAACACTAAAATAAATAAATAATTCTTTGAGTTTGAGCATTTTCATTGGTGCACTGAAATGAACTGATAACGATACTGTGGTATAGTTAGGCTGGCGAGTAATCCCGTTGCTTTCCTACTGATTATTAAAGCGCGGTGGTCGTCGCGCAGCGCGTGTTCGAATTTCATGTCAACAATGTATTTTACTCGCGTTGTAAACGTCGCTATGAGTCCCATATCGAACAGGAGGCAGCACCACGACTGCCGCCTTTTAACCCTCTATTGGCTCCTTGAATTATGCACATGCATAGGCTAGAAATTCTGTTGCTTTTATATTGATGATCAGGTTACAACATGTGTGTGTGTGTTAGTATTTTTATGTTGTTTCTTACACGAGTAAAAAACTATTTAGTCGATTTAGCTGGATTTTGGCATAGTCTATTTGCGTCGATGTTGCATAAGAGGGTCTGTCCGCCATCATAGAATTTACTGAAATTCTGATGACAATTACAAATAAAAGTAAGCTTAGAAAGAACTCTCGTGCGCTGAAGGCATTAGAGGCATGTGATTCGGATTTGTGATATTTATTATGCAAAAATACAATTTACATTTATATACATCGTCATTAGGATGTGTGTACTACCCATGTATGCGTGCCCGATGGGTCCATATTGTACATGTACGTATCATCGAATGTAAAGAAGACCAATTGATCGGATGGAAGGGTAACACGATTATTTAGTATGAGTTACGATATTAAGGATATTTCTCAACAATGAGAAAAATTGGAAACATAACGCGCAATGCGGTACAACGACTGTGGCGTCTCATTGTCGGTGAGAGCGGAAATTAGCAAAAAACAAAAAATGCCTCAAACGGACGGATTGGTGAATTACTGGTTAGTTGTAAGTATCGTGTATAGGTGGTATGTAGTTCCTTGCAGAGGCAGTGACAAACAGCGAGGTTGTACTTAAGGGAGCATCTGTACAATGACATCATTATTGTATTCATTGTGGGAAATGTTTAATTCTGCCGTATGAGAAATCGGAATTTGAAAAACAGAAATATCATCTGGTTAACAGTTTACATACTGTTGAACAAAAAATAATCAATTTGTAAGAATGTAAATATATTTTCCGATTCCCCACGGAATCTAGTCAAGTTCACTAATCATATACATTCCCATAAATGTCGCGTCTTGGCTGCAATCTAATTTTACCGCTGATGGGTCGGGAAGATGCACTTTCATGTATAAGTTATCACCCCTTTTCAGTTCAAATAGTCCGGAATGGTAACTGCTATAGTAGTAGCCATAGTCATCGCTTCCTTGCTGTGTCCTACCGCTCTTCATTAAGTCGATTGGGTCAGCTGTGTACGCCATACTTTCTGAAAACATAACATCGATTCGTTATAACAAGTAACAATTTGAGCTAAACGAGAAAATATCAATCGTGATTTCTAACTGGTATTCCAGGCACCAAATATGTAGATGTCGACGATCCCTGACTGTTTACCCATGAATCTAGACTTGTATACAGTCTCTTGTTTGTTTTGGGTATTTCTTTTTCAATGAAATAAAATATATATGGCGAACCATTTATACACTCGCACAATATTTATTTATTATATGAACTGTGTATGGCTATTACCATTACCATTACCATTACCTCATCGTGATCTTCCGTACGTATCACAGGGTAATGCAGAAGAAGTAGACATCCAGCGGAAATCCGCTTCTCAATTCGACAACTATGTATGCACTCTTTCGGGTGTATCATATGGGTTTGTATCGTCCCTGTCCTATAGGAACCCATCCTCCCAAACATGTTACTATGTGTTTGGTGGCATCGCAACCTATATCACCACCCCAATGCTCGACTGATTATTGCAGTTGTGGTGAGATTGCGTTCTGTCGGTGTTTGGAGAATGGGTAGTTTGTACTCCTTTTTATACAGTTGGGTGAGCAGTCGGCTATGGGAAGACCCATGACCTTCCTGGTGCGAAGCGAACCACTGTGCACCACGCCCAGGTATATCACCTACCTACAACTGTATAGTGAAGATATTCGTTTAGATTTGAGTTCATTCTGTCGCCGGCATCTCTTTCATCCCTGAAATATGACTATAAAGCAACAAAAAGAGATAATCGATAAACACACGGGTTTAATTATGTATCAGTTATAAATGTCGAGGTTGTCATATATTGCGCACTTTGAAGCGAAGATCTTTTTTTCATAGCGTGTGTACTTACTTGGCTGTATACATTGTAGATTCCTGATTTTGGTATAGTTATGTGATATGTGTCAACATTTACATGTTTAGTGAAGGTTTTTCCCCTTTCTGTCTCCCATGGTCCGACTTTAAACATGCCACGCCTGCGTGGTGGAAGCGATTCTATGGGTTGAAAAGTAAATAATTATTTTCCTCGAAAATATCGACCTCTAATGACTGCTATATCAGTTGAACAACTCGAACGTTTTATAGTTTTAACAAAGTACTGGACAGGCACGGTGAAATCGAGCCCAGATATTCCGGGAATTGAACGGATTCAGACATGTGTGCGTTTT